ATGTGTTTAGAAATATATTCTGTGTTTATAACCACAGCAATGATAAAACATTTGTAGCTTAAATGTTGTAACTGTTAGAATCCTGGTATACTTAATATTTTTATTCACACAGATGAAGGAGAGAGTATAGAGAAAGATCTATTAATTCATTGATTTTCCCTTTCTTTAGAACTTACACTTTTTTGGGTTATGTCCATTTTGGTCAGGATTTGTATCAGAAATTTGCTATTAGAACAGGAAAACTTTCCTGCATCTAAAGAAGCCCCTTGCCCTGTACATTTACCAGATATTTATAATGTGTCCTTGCTAGAGAGACTTTTGTGCATAAAACCAGTGCAAAAATTGTAATTTTTTTTGCATGTGAATAAACCACATGACAACAAGAAGCAAATCTTTGTCCCTGGTGATGGAAAAAAGGAAGCATGAGGAGTGTACGTGCTGGGAGTCACAGGATGAAAAGGTAAAAAGTTCCTTTAGAACCCGAGTTCTGAACTCTGCTCAATTGACCAATTCCTTTGCACGAGCAGAAGAAAGTGCCCTTAATTTATATTCTATAATTTTATCCTCCCTCCTTGCTTGTGGGCATGAGAGGCTTTTTTAAATACCAAAACAAAATGCTAATTTTCTCTCCCACCTCTTTTATGTCTCTGGAAAGCAAATTACTCCAGGAAAGATTTCACCAAAACATTTATTAAGATACAAGCAGCACAACTCTCATTTAAACACTGTATCAAGAAACAGCACCAAGCAATACCTTTTCTTTTCATATGGCCAAATTTCATACTGAGATATTGTACAGCAAATCCAAATAAACTCTGTTACAAATGCACACCAACAACCAAGAAATTAGTTAAATTAGTTATTTTAAATTTGTATGTGAAAAAAGCCCCACCAAAATTAAAATTCCCTACCTTTATCCTGAGTGTAGAGTTCTGAACCTGGGGGAAAAAAAAGAAATGTTATTTTCGAAGCTTGCAGATTGAGAGACAGCAATGTGAAACTGTTAAAAAGCCTCCCCAAAACCCCCCCAGACAAACCAAAACCAAGGTACCCACCCAGAGATTTAGTTATCAAACTTACACTGCAAGAAAATCACCAGAAGAGCAAGATACATCTCGTTCCTGAAGAACAGACACTTAACCCCAAAATCAAACAATATTCATTATCAGAGGTGATGCCTCCAGGTACCAAAACCACTTTGTGGTCTTTTTTTTCCGTTGGCTCTTTATGGAAACCGATAAAAATTTGCCATGAAAATTTGTAAGTTATCCCAGATCTTCCACAGAAACTGGCTGGATCAAGTAATCGTTCCCATTACTGGAAACTGGAAACGGCAAACAATGAGAATCTATCTGCTGCTCCCAGGCAGATTACTGGTCAGGAAGTGACTGGACTTTTCCTGAGGGCGCCACCAAATGCATTTGCTTTGTTTAATTTCTTAAGGTGTATTAAAAAAACAAGAAGTTCCAATGACATTTATCCTGCAGTTCCTGTCAATATGGGTATTTTTAAGTCACGATTAACCATTTAGGAACAACAAATCACCTTTGCTATTTGAACTCAGCAGATTCTTGGGCAAATATTTCCCTTCACCCTGATGTGGTGAACAGATGTACATAATTACCCATTTTTCCCTTTTACATCCATTTCTAGGTGTCCCATCTTTGCTGTGGCTGTGGGGTGCACAATAAATTCAAATTATCTCAGAAATCAGAGCTACTGTTGTGTGAGACCAGAATATGGACAGGCAGATCTCTCATATCACCATCAGATATCAGAAACATGGATCTGCACCACATTTTATTTTATGCAGTTAGGACAGTGCAAAGCCTGCAAAAGCATAAACCTTACACCCCACAAGAAAAAGAACCAGTTGAAGTTTCAATTCTCAGCAAAAATCTGCAGCAGCACTGGCACAATCTTAAATAGAGCACACTTCTCTGTTGCTCAGGATATTCCTTTCTCACTGTATCAGCCCACTTTTAAGTCAGATTTAAGCCATTCCCATCCCGAACACTGACAGTCTGTAAACTTGACAAAGTGAGTTGAAATCATGCCCTTCAAAAAGTGTTTCTTGAGTTGTGTGTACCAGAACTCCTCAAGCAGAGATTTAGTAATTCTTGAAAATTCAGTGTTCAACTCTTAATCTCTTTCTCTCCTTTGTAGACAGAGTCAATGCTTTCCTTTAATTCCAAGCTTGTTAAAACACTGTGTAAAACAACACTAAATACGTTCACAGAAGTCTATAAAACAGACAGACAGTTCTCATGAGCTTCACTTACATGAAATCCTTTTTTTTTTTCTCCTGGGGTCAATGAAAATTGTATTTTTCCCCAAAAAAATCAATATTTTAAAGCTATAAGTGTACTTCAATGCTTGTATTGCAAGCACGGCATTTTGCAAAGGGAAACAGAAGGAAAACACTCATCTGTTTAACAATGCATCGGTCATGAACAAGCACCTCTCTGGCTGTTTTACAGAATGGCACAATAGCCACAGCAATTAATGACTAAAGACTAAGCCGTTAACTACCAACAGTGTTTGTTCTGCTTAGTCCAGGCTGTTGGAAACACACCACCAACAAAGGATTGGGGGTTTGGCCGGTGGCCAACAATGGTCTCCAGGGACAGGTAAAGGAAAAGGGCAGGAGGACACATGGCAGGTGGAGAACAAAGGTAGATCAACTTTTGCTATTGGTAACAAAAAAATAGGAAGGAAGGAGATTTTCCCCTTCCCCCTTTCCCCAGAAAAGAATTTAGCACAATATAAAAAGCTCAGCAAAACCACACCAGTCTTTCCCACGAGGGACAAAGGTTTCTCTGAGCCCCAGCAAGGGAAGGGTGGGCCAAGTTCAGAGCCAGGCTGGTTTCAGACTCAGGTGGAAGGCCAGCTTGGAGGATGAACTAGCTCAGGAGTAAGGTTTAATGGTGCCAAAACCTGAGGCTGTTGGGAGATGTGGCTCCCAAGTACATTCCAGAAGATCTTACAAGCTGATTACACTGTCACATTCCTGCCCAGCCTCGACATTGTCGTGGAGAGGAAAATCCCGCTGGTCTTGACCAAAATCCAAGAAGTAAATTCAGCTGCAGGAATTCAAGCCAAAAGAACATGAAACTTGGGAGAAAAACATTGCAAACACAAAAGAATGGCTTGAGACCATCTTCCCTGGTTAAACTGGAAATCACACTGACCTAAAGAATTTAAACTTCAAAGCACCTGTGCCAGTAATACAGCTGGAGATTTTCCGGACAGCCACCTTATTGTAATCTCTCCAGATATGTATTTCTGAGTTACATAAGATCAAATTTATTCCAATATACATCGTATAAAGAACTCTATTCAATCCCTATCTCTATTTATGGGAAAAGTAGGATTGACCTCCAAAATGCAACACACCTCCTGAAGCAGACAGAATAAATCATTATAATCTGCCCTTTGAAACCCATGGGAATCATCACATTTCATCTACTGCCAATGAATTGGGCCCTTAAACATTAAAAGCCTCCTCTGGGAATTCTCTGTTTCTACTGGCTGGATCCCCTGCTGCTTGCTTTCATCTGACATTTCCTAAGAGCCCTCAGCTCTGGCATCCGAACAGAGCTCCGCTGAAACAAGAGGCAAAGCCTATTTTGCTAACTAAGGGAAAAATGCTGAATAAGATTTTCAAATTTTTCCCTCTGCAAATACAGTGTTTTCAGGCAATCCCTTATGACAGGAAAGGGAGCTCGGAGTTCCCAGCCCATTCCAGCTGTTTGTTTCCCTGTGCTCTCCGGGCTGGCGTGACAGCAAAGAGCGGCCGCGGTGCTGGTGCTCAGCACTGACATCTCACTTCCTCACACAGCACACACCGAGTCCAGCCAATTCTGGGGCCCCTCAACTTTGCCTCCTGCTCTCAAATGCCTGTTCCTGAGGGCAGTTTCACTTTCTTCAGAAAAGAATTTCTATCTCACCAACAAAAACTTTTGTGGGGTCAGAAATCTCATCCCTTATACATAATTTCTTGTATAAGTTCACTGATTTTAAAAAGAGTTAATTGCTACAGAGGTGTGTCTGTAAATGTTTGGGGTTTTTTCTAACTTTTATTTTAAAATTTATAAAAATTCAGAGATCTGGGTCCATCTATACCGAAGTCAACACAAGTTTTCCAGTAACTAAATCAAGACCAAAAAAGCAGTTCTGATTTCTAATCCTCCAATTCCTGACACAGATAATCATTAAATTATTTTGATTTCTTGCAGCTGTGAGCTGTTTTGCTCAATTCTAAATTCCTGTTTCAGTACACTCATAGATAATAGAACTATGACAAACATTGCTGTTTACACAAGTCTGGACAAATCCCTGGTGAACTGTGAATTAAACAAGTTCTTTCTACATATATTTTCAGGGCATACTGTTCTGTCTTGAATGTGGGACACTTGCATCATTAGTCTTTGTTTTAAAAGTGTCTCTTTATACCTCCCCAGAGAATAATTAAAAATTAATTTTCCTCCATGGATTTGAATATTTACAGAGTACAAGAAAGAAATTAACCCTGCCCTTTTTTCCAGGAGTCTGGAAGTTCTACAGTTTACAGAAACTCTGGATTGCCAGTTTGTGCATCTGGGAATAAATTGCATTTCACAATGGCACCATCTGCTGGGAGATGAGCACAGCAGTGAAGTGCAATTAAACATGTGATTACTGGTATCCAACACCTCCTCCAAATGGCAACATAAATTAAACCTGGAAAAGCAACTGAAGGAACCAGGGAGCTGATAATGATAGAATGTCACTGAGACTTTCACACTGGAATTTTTCTTTTTAATACAACAGGAGCTAATTATTGCTATTTGGTTTGTATGCTTCCTTACTGATACGGTGCAACATTGAGAAGAACACTAGAAATCTAACCTTGACTTGTATTTCATGTAGCACAAACCTCCACGTATCTCATCAGTTAGATAAAAGGAGAGAAATTCCTTCTTTCAGAGATGTGAAATCAATTTATGATTCCATTATTCTTGTGGTCTGTGATACCACCTTGACCTTTCCCTGCACCAGCAGCGTGTGAGTGACTCAGCCCCTCGAGGGCATTTTTAACTGCTGTCCACTCCTGCATTAACAAGTTCCTCTGTTTAGAAACACACAACACGGCTTGTGTCACTGTCACACACTGTCCTTCCCTGGCACTACACCAGGATTTGCATTTATTTTCTTGAATATCCAGCATTTCTGGATGCAGCTGAAAACCAGCTTTGAGCTCTGCAAGAATATCCCTCACAGAGGATGGACAGTGACAGAGAAGAGATCAGAAACTTCTGGCTGCAGAGGGAATTAATCTGGAAATATTTCTCCTTGGTGATTCTCCAAGAATAATTCCACATAAGTATAATTCAGTTGGTAGTGACTCAACAAGCTGGTCCAAGTTGACAGGAAACCTTTCAGCAGAGTTAACACAAACAGAGGCAGAACTGATCTGCTCCTTACCTGCAGCAGGTGCTCACACACAGCCAGTGCTGCCACTCATGTAACTGCTGGTTAAACTGCACAGAGGGGCAGATACTCCTCAGAGACACCTCAGAGTACACCAACAGAGGTTTGAAAAGGGATGAAAAACAGATAAGAGTGCTGGTAGATGTAATTATTTTTTAGCATTTTTCTTTTCATTCAGTATGTTTTCTAAGGAAAAAAAAAATTAACTTTTATCAGAGGTTAGGCAGCAGAAAAAAGTTAAAATTACAACTATGAGTTTGTAAAGAAGGCTGATTAAGCTGACTAAGAGAGTACTCCATATTTTTCAACCACAGCACTCTTATAGCAATTCCTGAACACATTTCTCTGGAACACTCTTCATACAGTGATGTCTGAATTTATCCCACGAGAAATGTATTAGTAACCCCAGTTTTCCGTGTCCCACCCAAATTCTTTCTTTCTTTTTCCAGTTTTGGGAGAGGATTCAGAGGACAGACATACCACATTTCATCTTTGGGAGATGTGGGAGATGCTAGGTTATCAAACTGGGTGCTCAAAAGTTCCTTTCACCTGCTGACATGTCCTTTGTAACCTGCAGTTAATTGAAAACCATCACTGCATCAAAATTCTCATTCAGAACCTGAGCATCACTGCAAGAAATTTAAAGCTACCTTAAATATCCATATACAAGAGATAATTTCCTCTTCTGCTCTTAATTGTCCTCCAGAAAAACAATTCTCTCACAAACACCAAGTAGTTAAAAAAAACAGCAGACTGGTTCCCACAGCTATTTTTACAGGAGTGTAAAAATGCAGTATTCAGTGAGGATCAAGCTATATCAGTAAGACCTTTCTGCAGACAAAACAGAGCCTTAATTTAATTCATCACCAGACATTGCTGTCAGTACATGGTGATTTCTAGCAAACCTTCTGCAGATATCTACTGTAGCAGATGCTCCTCCAGAACCTCTCAGGATGAGAAACTGGGGCTGGGAATAACTTTCATAATTCTGTTGAAAAATGCAAATTTCCCTGGAAGCCTGTGATAGAACAGACACAGTGTGAAGCTTTCACAGCCTTACTACAGAACACTATCACACTATTTACGTTCTCAAGTCTTCACTGACCTTGTGAATGAAAGCTCAGTTTGGGTTTTACCCTCTTCCACCTGCTCGCTTGAGGCAGAATATTGTCACAGCACCAAGTGATACATATTTCCCTTTCTGACTTTTTAACTTACTTATTTTGGCTGGATGGCTTCTGTTCTGTAATGTCATGTTCATTACTCTTTGCTAAATTTATTCAGCTCTTCTTACATGTACAGCCACATTAATTGCAGGCAGGAAACTCATACATCTAATAAAAAGGGAACTCTGAGCTTACACAATATCTTACTGTTGGCATAAAACTCTCTGTATACATGCTGAACAAAGCAACATCGCCTTAGTCCAAAGTCAATAGCCAGTCCTGCCAGAAAAACAATCAGCATGGAAGTAAACTCACTTCCAAACAGAAACCAGGCCTTTGGACTCGTCCTCTTTGGACACCCAGGTTGTGCATCCCGAGGGAACCTGCACACACACCATTGAAGCTGCTGTACATGAGAGATCCTGGTGACTACCAGACTTTTATTTTCTGAAAGACACGGCCAAATTCACAGCTCATTTGCTGGGTAACCATTCCCCATTGCCCACACACAACATGAAGCAGCTTCTTAGAAAGAGAAAAGCGTTGGGTGGTGGGTGAGCACCTGCAGGGCCTCTGAGGGGACACACCCACCTCTGAGGGGACACCATCCCGGGCCGCCAGTGCCTCAGGGACTGTGTGTGTGGGTTTCTGACAAGAACAGGCTCCCACAACAGGAAAATGCACAAACCCCCCAACAGTTCTTCCCCCAACAGCTGCATTTTCACACATGCTTCCTGACAGCTGTGAAAAGATGTTCCGCCCTTGCGGTTTGCTGTCAGCGTTTCCAAACCAGAAACATTTGTGAGGGGAGGGTGGAGATTGTCTTAGAAGAAATTAAGAAAACAAAACAAAACAAAACCCCTCCACCCCCAAAATTTAAAAAAAAAAGAAAAACAAGGGGGAAGGAAGTGCACACACATTCTGTAAGGAAGTTTTGCAATGCTGCAACAGCCGAGGATTTGGGAGGGATCCTGTATTACACCTCCAGACTGCCTTGTTGCCTTCAGAAACTGAAAACTAAGAAATAGGAAATAAGATGAGGATCACAACAACTCTTTCAAGGCATGTTCTGTGTAAGCAATCACTTCCTCACACACAACAGGGCCTGGAGCCCCTCAGAAGGCACTGCCCGTGCATAGCTGATGATTACACTTACTTTGCCCAGAGGATGACAAGGAAAGAACATCTGCTTGCCAAGACTGTAATTTGTATTACGGATTAGCTCATCAAATTAGTCATCAAGTTTGTTTATGCAGTGCTGTTGAACTCAAGTTCTTTATGAGATCTGTAGCATCTAATACAAGGTCTCACTTCCTCACAGCCTCACATTTGAAGTTTGACCAAAATATTTTCCAAACACGCTGGCAAGCTATAAATATTTATTAGCATCCTAAAACTTCTATAAATTTGATACTCTCTTTTTTCTGGGCTGTTTTTTTTTAATTATATTGCTGCTAAAAAACACCCAGTACCACATACTTCCTTAGTCTCAGCCATATGATCACTTGCACTATCTGTGGCAAACATGTGACTTTTTGATACGGATCAGTGATTGATCTCATTCTCTTTTAAGAACAGTACCAGAAAAACTACCCAAAGGAGGTTGTAGCCAGGTGGGGGGTGGTCTCTTCTCCCTAGTAACAAGTGATAGGACAAGAGGAAACAGCCTCAAGTTGTACCAGGGGAGGTTTATATTGGATATTAGGAAAAATTTCTTCATGGGAAGAATTTCTGCTCTGGGAAGTGGTGGGATCAGCAACCCTGGAGGGATTTCAAACACGTGTGGATGTGGCACTTGGGGACATGGTTTAGTGGTGGACTTGGCAATGGTCAGACTCAATGATCTCAGAGTTCTCTTCCAGCCTCAGTGATTCTATGATTCCATACACAGCAGCACGGTTCTACCACCCAACTCACATGGAAAACCACTGATTGTGTCCTAGAACAACTCTGGGCAACATTTACCTGCATCCCAAACTGCTGCTCCTCACTCTGCCCACTACCCTGCCTACCACAGGCTAAATGTGCACGGAACATGACAAAAAACTCTTCACTGAAACATCAGTAGAGATCAGCACTGTTTCCATATATAGAACTTCCTCAAGCCCTGGAGCCACTCCTCAATCTCTTTTGAAAGAAAGATCTGCCATGTAACTCCACCAGCTCTCTTGCCCCGCATCAAGAAAATGTTTTTTCTCACAATTCTGCTGTTTTCCTACTGTAAGCCAAGGACGTTTCTTTCCTACTCCAAATCTTTCTAAACCAGAACCACTGTTTCTCACCTGAAAGCTTTTCTTTTTCTTCTCTTAGCTCAAATGTCTCAGCAGATACAGAAAACTCCTGCAAGTGGCAAAGGTAAGTTCACTTTTGTTGATTTTGAGATATGTGCTGCAATCGACTCTTAACCAAAAAGCGGGGAAGGGATTTAAAAATGTCCAAAAAGTTCATGTAAAATTAAATCTTTTGCCTGTCTGTGCAGTGAGGCAGTTTACAAGTCTCTTTGCTGACCTGTCTGTACAGTCAAAATTGCTTTAAGTTGTTAAAATATTTTTTCCCCACTAGAAATGTTGTGATTTATTTTAGTTAGGACTAATTTAGTACCATTTTTTATGAAAAGATAAGTTTTTGTTACAAAATTATTCGTATAATATCATAAAAGGAAACAAATCCGAGAGGCCATCAAGGTCCCTGCTACTATTATTTAAAAGTTCAATCTACTTACACAAGGTTAATTCTGCCTTTTTACATACAGCCACAAATAAATTACTGCTTTTGCTTTCAGGTTCACATGCTACCTTTCATATAGCATATAAGGTTATTTTCTCCTACAATTAACACTCCTAATACTTGATTTATCTTTTGTACTTCTATTATTTTAATTGCAGCTGTAGTTCAAAAGTATTTTTATTGGTTCTCCTGGACACATATGTGGGCTTTGTGTGGCTGCGCCCTCTTTTGCATGAAGACACGCACTTTTTGTCATGTGTGAAGCTGCATACTGGTTTTAAAAAGTACGAACTTGAGTTGCCTGCTATTGGAGGTGGAAAAAAGTACATAATGCCCTATTTCAACAGAAATAAATATAGCTCGGTTCTCAACATATTTTGGGAAAAATCTGGGAGTTTTTTGGGTGATAGGTGCAGTCAACTCACTCAGAAGTTTCTCCTTTCCAGGGATCATGTCCAACCCCAAGCTCGTACTGGATCAGAGGAGTTTGAATGTGGTGATGAACCAGAACGTGACCCTCTACTGCTGCTCTGCCTCTGGATCTCCCCCTGTCAGATACATCTTGTTCAAACACAACCAGCAGGTTTCCTCTTTGAACAGGTCAGACTCGACCCCTGCCTTGTTTACCTTGACTATCAGCTCTGTCAGTGACGTGGGTCCCTACAAATGCAAAGCTGAGTACAACACCTCCAGTGATGGAAAATACAGCAACAGCCTCAACTTCACCCTTATAGGTATGTCTGGCTGTGCACCTTCCCAGCACTCTTTATTTTAGGGGCACGGTCTTGCCTGAGGAGCTGACCTTTACTGCAGATGGCTGTTATTCCCTCAGGAGTCAGCAGTGCTGCCCTGCCCTGGCTCGCCAACCCTCCATCCTCAGTGCCCACCTCATTTTCTTGCTTAACTCTGAGTCTTGCTTGGAGCTTGTGTCCTGTACTCAGTGATTGAGCCTTTTCAGTTTTCTTTTCTCAGAGCCAATTTCCAAACCAGTGCTGAGCTCACCCACCTCTCACACAACGAAAGGCCAGAACGTGACCCTGTCTTGTTTCTCCGAGAACGGATCTCTTCCCATCACTTACACATTCTTCAAGGGAAAACAAAGCATCTCTCCCCCAAAGATGATGCATGAGAGGGAAGCAGCTGTGATTTTTGTATTTGTCAATTCCTCTACTGACTCTGGAATCTATAAATGCAAAGCTAATAATAGTTTTCCCAATAGTATGAAATACAGCAACAGTTTCAACTTCACATTAGCAGGTAAGTGTGTGTGAAAAGAGTTACCACTGACAAACAGGGACCATACAAAGTTCAGAATGTTGTCATGATCCAAGTTTTTTAGCCAGATATTTTGTTCCTGCAATATCATGTTCAAAATACCATTTTTTACGATAAAAAAAAAATTTTAGTTTTTCAAATGCATGCAAAACCACAGAATTCCACGCAACCTAGACAGGAGAAGTTGAAGTGCCCATGAAGAATGACTGTAAAAGACTCACTTTTACAAGAGACCCCTGGTCCACCTTGGGGAGAGTCTGGTTTTATTTTTCTCTCTGGTCCTAGGAAAGAGCCTCCTGGCACCAGCAAGCTGGGGCACAGTGCCCTCAAGACTCTCTTTAGTTACACTAACCACAGTTAATCCAAAAGCTGAAAAAAATGCCAAGGTGTTGATTTTAATGCATAGAAAATACATAAAATGCAAAACATTTCATTGCATAAACACTTTTTTCTTCTTCTTTTTGGCAGAAGAGAAAAGCCATTCTCAGGCCCTGATAATTTCTCTTGGGTTGATACTGCTACTACTCGTAATAGGATTTGCTCTGGCAATTCCATTTTTCATAATTCCTTCATATAAAGCAAGTGAGTTATCTGAATGTCTCTTTCATTTTCATTTATGTTGTCAATATATTTTAGTGTGTAAACATCACCTTACCAGTAGAGTAGTTCTTGGTGATTTAGGATGTTGTCAAGTCTCCTCTCAACCAGCACTGGCAACTTAACATTGACAAGGCAAAACTTCTACCCTGTTTTGGATGGCAGGTCTGGGATGGGAATAACAAAGCAACATCTAATGTAATACACACAAACACTGGAAGGAATGAGATCTCTATTAAAATCTATTAAAATGCCCTTGGTTAAAGAGCAATATTTATCATGAAAATAACATTATCTGAGCTCTCTAAATATTCAAAAAATACCATGAAACTGTTTACTTCCCTCTTAAGAAAAACTGATACAGGTATACAGACATGTGTCTTTCTTTTACAATTTGCAGAAAAATATAAGTCTACCAGGCCCTCAACTGGCTTTACATCAACAGTGAATGTAGAGGAGACTGAAAATGATGTCATATATGCAGAGATTGGTAAGTTCATGTCACCCCCCTGCAGTCAGGATAGTGTGGGCACAGCTCTTCAGGTACTGCAGGAGCCTCATACATGGATTCCCTCAGAATCCATATTTGGCATAACCTGTCAACCATGCAGCCAAAACTGCAGCTGGTTAAATGAAATGAGGTTCTATGTGTTTACTAAGAGCCAACAATGGGCTATATGGAGTTGTAGCAAAATAAAACTTACGTAGCTCCTGCGTTCTGTTCAAAATTGTTCAGTGCTTCTGCTCTTTATTCCATGTTTCTGAAGTTTGACAAGACTCAGTTCAAACTTAAATTATGAAGTGACAACAAAGCAACTGACTTAAGATATTGTGCTGCTTCAGCTGCAGAAAATACACAATAACAAAGACATTCCCCAACAACCACAATGCTCTGAACATGGGAGTTTTCTCTATTTGCTCTACATGTGAATGTCTCTTCTGAAGGGGAAAAAGAAACCCCCAAACCAAACCAATAGCGAGGGCATTATGTTTCCCATTTCTGAATATCAAAATGGAGTAATTCTCTCCAAACTAACCTGCCTTCCTGATCCTGCAGTACACTGGTAAGGTCCTCACTGCCCTGCTGTGCAGCTGCTCGTGCCAGGGATCACTCAGCACCCCACCCACAGCCTGCAAGGACAGGGACAAGAGCTCTGATAAGGCCTGTGAATGCTACACATAACAGGATTTATATTCACTATAGAATCTCACTGCTTTATTTCAAGATTATAGAAAAAAAAAAGTCTGATCTAGTTGCTTGTAATTAACTGTTGTTCACCATCTTTAATCCAGAGCCTGTTAAGCCAGAAGAAGAATACATCAACTTTTCTGTTATTAGAAGAGAAGATGAAAAAGGTGAAAACCTCAAGCTATAATATTGGAATATCTGATGCTCACAAACATGTTTTGAGGGGACTTTGCTGGGTGGAGGCAGGGCTTAGATAGTTGTAGTTGCTTATGAAATTGCTTAGTTACCACTGAGAAATTAAAGTAACTTTAAGACCTTTTGAGGGGGGAAAAAAGAAAAAGAAAAGAAGACAACTATCCTATGACCCAAAAACTCAACAGCCTCACTATGAGACCATGCAGATGTTATTAGTAACCACATTGCTGATGTAATGTTAATTCTTCTACTGGGTATCTGTATCAAAAAAGCAATTATGAATTGTGCTATTCTGGCTTTTAGCAGGGAAGAGGGAATGTACTACAGTCTATTCAAAGGTCCTCATCAGAAACTGAGTATCAGGTATGATCTCTTTTGTGGTTAACTTACTCACATGTTTTTAAAGAATTTTTCAGTCCCCAAATGTGATAAGTTCCAGCAAGTTTCACAGAAGGAGATGATGTTCAGATACCAGTTTCCTGGCCTAGGCAGTTTGTAGACAGATAAAATCAAAATCTCAGAGTTATCATATCTAAGGACTTCAACTTAGGAGAAAAAGCAGAACAGATAACAATTGGAATTATTGAACAGCAATTCCATTATGACAAACAGCAGCTTATTGCCCAAACAGCACCATAAAAGCCACACCAAAGCAATGCAATCACTGCCAGGTATAACATCCTGCTGGACACAATATATAGTCTGGCATTACTGGCATCTGATGAATAAACAGAAAGGAATAAATTATTTAAAGCTTTCACCCAGCCCCAAGTTCCTGTACAGTTAACAATTCTCCTAAAGCAGAAACTGGATTGGGTGCAGACATAAGATAATCAAAAGGCTTTAGTTCAGTATAAATAAAAAAAACATATAATCCCAAGTGTGTCCTCTTAGGCACACACAGGAGGATCTGTGTTTGGCCTCAGTACCTGTAAGGATGGGAATTTCTCAGTTCTACATTATTTCAGCTCTCAGGGTAGGGATAGGATGTCAAAATTAACTTTTGGAACAGCTAATTCCAAAACAAATTCTGCATCCTGCTACAGGCCGTTCTTAAATAATCCTGGGTTGTTCTAATATCATTCCACAGCCAGTTAATTTAGAATTCCACACGTTTAACAAGTCACACTATGCTGACCTTGCACTATATCTAACATAATTACACTACGCAGCAATTATTGTTACAAATAACTCATTTTTAGTTAAGAAGAAAATTTTAAGGCAAGTTCCTGTGTTTCATGACACTGATGACTATCAGAGGCCACGTGCCTTGTTGCACACACTTTAAGCACTTTACACAGTGACTCAACAAGCTCTGAACATGTTGTACATCTCCAGAAGATCAGAAACACTCAATTCTGTATCTCTGCAAACTCCTGTATCTGATTTTCAACACTATGCTCAGCAGGAAAAATGTGATCACACATTAGTCTTTTTCCAGCATTTTATATACATAGACCTTTTCTTTCCACAAAAAATGCTTGTAAAAACCTTTACAATTTATTTAAATCTATTCCTCTGTTACTCTTGATAACTTACTTCTGATTTTTATGCTTATCAAGTGCAAGATGAAGTAGCTTGAATGTTGAAGAACTGGGGCCATGTGATTAAAACACATTCCTACAAACAGACAGTACAAATATACTGATTTATTTAAACGTTTAAGATTTGGAAGTCTTTTATATAAAATCCCATTTTCCAGCAGAGATCATAATCGTGTCAGCAATACAGATGAAAGCTGAACTTTTAGCTTAGGATGGAGTACTTTTACCTGACAGTAAAGACATGAATGAGGATATGGTTAGCCCTGCTAACCAGGGACAAGTTGCATCTCTTGCCTCTTTCCAAGGAAACCTGGAAGACCTGGATGGCCTAGATTTGGCAGCAAACAGATGCACCATCAAACTTTAGCAGAGCTATTTGCAGAGAAACCACCGAGTCCATGACAATGCTGAAACCGGTCCAGGCACAGAGGTTTAAGAAAATCCCTTTATTCAGTGAATTTCAGCTTACACATTTTTGGCTGACGTCACATATTTAGTTAAGAAGTCCTTCAGCCTAGAAATGTGCATCATTTCCTTCATGGTGGTATCTCTGCTCCTCAGCTGGACCACCCCGTTCTCCAGAGTGGCATCAGTTATCAAGATCATGAAGAGAATACTCATCTCATCGTACCTGGAAAGAAAAGAGTCCCCCTGTTACTGCTTTTGGTGTGTGGAAAAAAATCAGATAAATTATGTGCCAATGACTATAAACTGTAAATATTTATTTTTGCTGTATTGCACTAAGTCCAGCATGACGACACCAGTTTTCTTGTTGCCATTCCTTGCTTTCCTGATTACATTTCTTTAAATTATTTAGCTACTTTAGTACATAAAAGAATGTTGTTTAGTGACCTATTACAGGAATATTTTTGCAGAAGTAGAATTTATCTGACTTACTTTGAATACTACTGCACATGAACAAATAGTTCTATTTATTTTCTCTAAGAAATATTCATCAATATGCTCAAGATCCACTGACATGAGCAGCCATATGCCCCAAATTCACTCCTGATAAACAAATCATACATGAAGCCCCCAAATGGAATAGCTGTTTTTATATCCACAAATAATTCCATCACATACATTGACAGTAATGGTTCCAGATTTGGAAGAACTTTTAAGACTAGACACAGTGTGCTATTTGAAACAGTACTTAAGAATGAAACACAGAACCAGAGCAGATGCAAAAATAGGGGGTGAGGGTGGGAAACAGTTCTGAGAGCTTCTGACTCATGTGAAGAAATTTATTTTCAATAGGAGAGTCTCTAAAAGGCATTTCACACTTCCAGGGAGATAACAGTAACACATGAAAGGCTTATACTTAATTTAAAAAATGAACAACGTGCTTTTCATAATAAAACTACTCAAATCTAAGTCTGTAGTTTGGGATCAAAGCCTTCAGTCACGTGGTTACTGCACCCAAGGACTTCTTACTGAAATCAGGCATATTTGCACTAGTCCACAGAAAGTCATCTTTCACCTTCATAGTTTAATTTACCAAAGATTGTTTCTCCTTACTTTGTATAAAGCTGTTCCAGAGACACTGGCACAGTTTCAAGATAACCTGGCCACACAGAAATTCTGTTTTCTGTCAGTTCATTGAACAGTCCTTGACAAACCTGTGATCATTTAAAAACAAAAGTTAAAAGAGAGACTTTGAGGGTCTGAGACTCTACAAAGAAACCATTAGAACTCCAGCATGTGTGGTATTAACATTCCTAGCTGGTGTTAATTTGCTGGTTGAAATAATCTCCAAATGGAAAGCAGCCTGGCAATTAAATCTCCATTTCTGTTTAAAAACAGTGTAAGTTTCCTCCTTTCTGTGAGGACTGACAATGACTGACTGACATAAAAACTTTAAAAAAATCCTTCTGAAGATGCAACCCATGTGTAATTAAGATAATTCTGAAATATTAAGAAGCTGGGAGGGACTGTGTTATTTATTTTCCTTAATTTTGCATGGAACAAGTATCAGGTCTATTAACAGCACCAAAAGCAGTGTGTCCACACAGGGAACTGCCTGCAGTGAACTTCTTTGGCTGTGACTCACAAGCTGCACAGCAGGAATCAAAGCAGCAGAAAAATTTTCCCCAACACAAACCCTGTCTGAACTGTAACATGGAGATTCAATGCTCAAAATTAAAATACTGTCTTACAACATACCTGTCTCAGCTCTGTTGTTGGACCTTTTCCTACGTCCAAGGCCACTTTAAGAGGTGCTAAACAAGGATGTAGCTTAAGTACCTTATAAATTTACAAAAAGCAACAGATTACCAAATTTGTTCAGCACACAATTCTACAGAACTAGGAAATAGTAAGTATTTTTAACTGAAATTAAGGCTCTAAACAGGCAAAACTTTTCTCATAGCACAAATTCCTGAATTAGCAGCAAGCTGTATTTTATATAACTAGCACACTCATACTCCAGCTAGATTCACAGGGTAGAAATTACTCCATTTTGGCTGAGCCCCAGGAAAGAAATGAAGATTTGTTAGCAGAGCTCCATCATCCTGAACGGAGCCAGAGTGATCAGAGACAGCCCAGCAGACAGTTCCCATCCAGTCTACTGCCTGTTCTTAAAGAACAAACAGCTGTTTGGGTGACAAGCCCTGTCTGACAGCCAGCACTCAAACTGCAGAGAAACAGGGTAAAAATGGGAATAACCATGGTCCTTGGGAAGATGCCCCACTACCACCTGTGACCCACTATTTCTACTCTTCTCAGCCACCTTCAAATGCTGCTGGAAGAGACAAATTCCTCTTTTCCGCAAACTGCAGCTACATTCCAACTTCTCTTAACTCCTTCACTGCTTGCATGGCAAGAGCCTGCCTACCCATCAGAGAAAAAGGTAAAACAGGAAAGGGAACCTCAGAATGAGAGAAAAAAATGCTTATGTGGGTGACAAGGCCTGCTGGGCAGTGCCATGGGGCCAGCCTGGTGCTACCAGTGAGAACAGTCAGTCTGCATCCATTTGGGAAGGGAAGAGGATAGCCAGGTGGAAAAAGGAGACATTTCCATGGTTGAATTTACATCGTCTGCAGCTTTTGTACTTAGACTTCTGTTACACTTTCTACAGAAAGGTACCTTTCTCTGTGAATTTTTCTTTGTTGTTAATGGATTCTCAGCCAGCTGTAGGGAATCAAAGAGATAGGCCAAGACTCCTCGGTCCAGGTTTCCATTCATAGACAGAACATGAGGAATAACATTCTTCCTTCCATCTCGGCCCTAAAGAGAAAAAAACACAAAGGGAAACATCAAAGATTGACCCAAAAAGCCTTTTGCTTGCTTTAAATGTATAATGAGGCATTGAGGTAGAGTACCTTTATTATGTTTAAAGCACAATCAGACATGTATTTTAAAAAGTTACCAGAATTCTCAGAAGTGTAACCAGGTAACACTGTAACACTGGGGAAAGCAGAAGGTCAGAGCAGGATGGAATTAGTCTCTTGCCTGCCACTATGATCATAAATTTAAATCTATGGCAAATACACGTGAAATTGCATTTTCCTTTGGAGGTGTGTAGATTATTTTAAAGTGACCAGGAGGATCTCTCCCCATATTCCAAGAAATCCCTGCCCCAGTTTTGTAGGTGTAGGTTAGTCTTCCACCTTCTCTACAGAAATAAACTGCAAAACCAGGAAAGACTGGACTATCATGAGAAGGAGAAGGTTGCAATTTACTGATAAAATACCAAATTACTCTCATTTTCTCTGTTCAGCCTGACTTCAAACATTGCCATTCACTAGAAGTTTGTCCCCCTCCAATATATTCAGTGGAGAGGTTTCCCTCTGATCCATTCCCCCTCTGAGTATGGTAATTTCAAAAAAGCCATCTGCAGTGTTTATAACCCCTTAACCTACATAATATTCCACATATATGGATGTGAACAGGCTACAGCAAGAAAAAAAACATTTACAGGGGCTTTTTGATGCAAACTGAACACTGCAAAGCACGGTCTGAGTTTCCCTTGACATCTTTTACAGATACAGGTAAAGACTACGGTACTGATAACAGCTGTCTTGTCAATATAGCTCATTTCTAATTACAATTAATTAACTTATTGCAAAAAAAGTCCCAAAACACTATTTTATCAGCTTCTGAAAATGAAGGTCTGACTGCAGAGTGTCAATGGTACTACTTTTACAGCCAACAAATAACAAGACAGTCACCTGCTAAGCAACTGGACCAGCAAAGAAACCATTTCTCTCACACATGACTCTGTTTATCAGAAAAGATTTTTAATATAGTGAAGCTTACAAGTAATTTTGAACTTTCCCCTGGATACATCTGTAACAGTTCGGTATCACCAAGGTTCTTCAATGTTTCTATTGTTTCTGTCCCCCAAGGAAACTTGTAATGTAACTTAAATCCTCTTCTGCCTTCTTCATCATGAAAGTCACTGCTGCTGAAGTTAGACGGGCCTACTGCAAACTGAAAATAAAAGGTGTAAGAGGTGTAATACTGTGAATCTTGTATTAACTAAAAAACCAAGTCTGCAATGCAGGCTGAAGCCTGTGATTTTCAGCAAAAGATTTGTATAAATTACAGCCCAAATCTCTCTGTTGTTTCACGGCATTTTAATCTCACATCACTTACAAACACGAAACATTTGGCTTTCTGTAAGTCATGTGACAAACTTCTTATTGGGTTTGTCACAAACTTCAGTTGCTTTTCAGTTACCACAAGAAATAAGCCCATTTCAGTTGCTAGAACGTAAGGCCATAAAACCAACCAGGGTGACTATTCCCCTTTGAAAGGAGCAGGCCAAGATTCCCAGGGATATGCTGCTGTTACCTTTCTCCACCACTGGAGCCTCTGGCGTAGCCAGTAATCGAGCCACTGTCCTGAAGTTCTGGGAGAACTAAACCATGCAAGCAAGGACGTGGTCCTCTCTCCTATTCTTTAAACAATAGCAAGGGCAGCAAGTTAACACCTTCAGAAATAACAGGGGAAAAAGCAAGAAACAGCATTCAAAAACAATCCAAAAGTGAAACAAGTGTTAACAGCTGCTTTAAGCACGGAAAGGGATTAATCCCCCTAATACTCTACCTTGTAAGGTTTTTGTTGGGTTGCTCACTTTCTGGAAGAGAATGAAAGCACACTCCAATCTGAGCGAGGCCACAAGGTAGTCTTTTGTTCACCAGCTCTAAGCAGCTGACATACTGCGCCAGAACACCTATCAAAAGGTAAATCCCTGATTTTAGTGGCCATCAGGATGATTTTTACGTTTTCAGTCTACCAACAGCAAATGTAGCACATGATACAAGTGTTGTTTGTATGTGAAGCCTCACTAGCACTGATGCTTTGCAGGGACGGGCTCAGCAGCCTGGTTCCTCTGGGCACTTTAGTGCCTTTCCCTTAACTACAGAGTGCACCCTGCCCACCTGTGCTGCTCAGGTCCTCGAAAAGGACACAAACTCACAGCACGCAGCCAACACAGCTGGAAAACTCCCTTAAACGCAGCTGTTTCTCTCCCAGCCAGAACCCCGCTCGCAGGGCCCAGGCTGTGCGGGGCCGCCCGGGACCTACCGGGCAGGAGGCTCTCCCGCAGCACTCCCGCGGCGCCCAGCACTTGGTCCAGGGCCGGGCTGTGCCCACAGCCCTGCAAGGCGTCCCGCAGCGCCTCCGGCTGCAGCAGCCGCAGCCCCCGCGCGTCCCGCGGGGCTCCGGGCGGGCCGTGGAGCGGGGCATCCACGGCGAACACCTGCTCCCGCGGGGGTATGGCCGAGTCCCACCACTGCGCCGCCAGGTTGGCGCGCAGGGCCGCGCCCAGCGGCCCGAGCCCCGGGTGCTGCCCGCTCAGGTAGGCGCGCCAGGGCAGCGGCCCCGCGCCGCCGCGCAGGAAGCGCCGCCGCCAGCACACCTCCAGCAGCTCCGCCCCGCCCGCCGCCTCCGCCCCGCCGCCGCCGCCCGCCGCGTAGGGCCGCGCTGAGCACCCCACCGCGGGAGCC